CTTTGAACTAAAATTCCCAGAAACTTTCACCACTAGCTGTGCTGGCCAGGATTTCTGGGAGTTGTAGTCCAAAAAATTAGAGGATCCAAGACTGGGAACAACTGCTCTAATGCAAAGATGGAAATATATGGCCTTTCATGTCAGATGGCAACTTTCCCACAATTCTTCCCCACTAAGGATGCTGGCTAGGGCTGATAGGAGCTATAGCCCAGCAACATCTGGAGAGCAACACATTATTCGTTTCTGTTCTGGGGATGATTTGCTTTTGCTTTTGGGGGACTCCTGCTTTAAAACAATGATGGTTAATTTGGAATAGATTGGATTGGGTAAAGGTTGGGTTGACACAGATTTTGAAGAGCTTCAGCTGGACAAGTTAAAAGGCATATACCAGTGGATGGTGGCACATCTGAATGTGGTCACAGCCCCCCACCCTGCTGGAATGTGCTCCCCTAATGTGATTGACCAGACCCACATACTCTGACTCACACATACATTCATATACACTACTTATCTGGGGATTTCGGAACACATGGAGGTCAGCAGGCTTGTGATGATTGAAATGCGCCCTGATCACGGAAGAGCAATGAATGGGAACTGATAGGATTCAATTTTATTGCAAAATGTCCCTCACCTGAATTTTCTCTTGCTTGAATCAGCACAAAAGCCAGGCCTTGTCGGTGTCAGCGTTGGCCGTGAGGGAACACCAGCGCTTCTTATCACTGTGGCCATCTCTGGTGCAGCTGTGGTAGGACTTGCCATGGAAGACAAAGGGGAAGACACAGTCTGATTCTAATTGGGAAGAAAGAAGAACGGTTTAATGGGTTTTTTCCATAGCATATAAATGTTGTATACTCTGATCTCTTAGGTTACCAAAAAACAAAAAAGACTTGTTTCTGGTAGCAAAAGTGGTAGACTGATGTGGATCGTGTCAACTGCTTACATTTATATGCCCTCACTTGGATACAGCTGTGGGTGAGTGTTAAAATGAGTATCTTCAAGATATACAACTGACTATAAGCCAAAAAAGTGGCCCATTGAGTGCTAGAGCATCATTCTGTTTTTGTAGCAGCTAACTGCAATACTTGCGTGTCATCAAGTCAATTCTGAGTTATGGCAACCCTCTCAGTGTTTTCTAGGTGTAAAGAACTGAGAAGTGGTTTACTAGTGATGCTCTAGGACTGCGCAGCTTCTCCAAGACCGCACACGTGGCAGGGCACGTTATCCTATTGATCACATGATCCTTGGGCAATCTCAGCTGTTCTCTCTCCCAGGCAATGCAATAAAGATTTCAACTCCTAGCCCTTCTCTGTGCAGCCTACTATAAGCCAAAAAAGTGGCCCATTGAGTGCTAGAGCATCATTCTGTTTTTGTAGCAGCTAACTGCAATACTTGCATGCCATCATCTCAATTCTGAGTTATGGCAACCCTCTCAGTGTTTTCTAGGTGTAAAGAACTGAGAAGTGGTTTACAGTACTAGAGATGCTCTAGGACTGTGCAGCTTCTCCAAGATCACACATTGATCACATTATCCTTGATCACATGATCCTTGGGCAATCTCAGCTGTTTTCTCTCCCAGGCAATGCAATAAAGATTTCAACTCCTAGCCCTTCCCTGTGCAGCCTAGCTGTCCAACATACTGAGCTATTCCAGCTTGCTGACAGCCAGCAACTCCTAGTGAGCTGCCATAATTGGTTACACTTCCACATTTAAAAAAGAAATGTTGAAAATTAAAGAGCAGCTCCAAATTAATGTGTTCAGATTTGAATTAAAAACACCCTCCGCATTATTTTCTACACAATCACTTCAAAGCATTTTAGATGCTAGACGGCATCTGAGGAGATGCATTCTCTCTCTCCTTTGGTTGGTAGGTCTCGTGTCTCGCAATGTGTTGTCTGATGTGACATACATTAGTGCCATCTTTATAAGAGGGACAAAAGCATTATTTTGCCTTTAAAGGTATTTGTTCTCACATGCAAATGTATGGGACTTCGTCGTTTAGTTGTTTAGTCATTTTCCGACTCTTCGTGACCCCATAGACCAGAGCACTCCAGGCCCTCCTAACTTCCACTGCCTCCCGTAGTTGTGTCAAATTCATTCTGGTAGCTTCGATGACACTGTCCAGCCATCTCATCCCGACCATGGGACTTAGGACATGCATTAATGACATGTTGACCACAACCCATACTATACATGGTTAAGCAAAAACTATTTGATTGGATGAAACTCCAGTGTATAAACACAAAAGCACCTTCCTCCGCTTATTGGCCCTCCCCATTTTACTCACCATTACATAATCTCCACTTCTGTACTTTGGTAGTTTGGTAATCTGTTCGATAGTCCGGTGTGGTAGCACACCATGCTCTCCCTTCGTTGTTCTCCACAGAGGTACAGCTTTGGTATGCCTTTCCTTTGTAGATGAAAGGAAAGACACAGCCTGTCTCTGAATGAAAAACAGAGAGGAAAGAATGTAACTGAATACCCAAATGCGAATGACTTTAGCCAGGCTCCATAATTCCCAGGAATCCTGACAATTACAACTATGGGGATGTGTTGTGTCGAATGTGCTGAATTCTTTGCTGTTTTAAATCTCTTAAATTGTCCCTGTTTTAAATCACTCCATACAAGAGCTGATTTCTAGGTTGACGGAGTTTGTTATAAATTGCAGCCTGATTCCTGATTTCACCCCCCTGCCCCGCTCCGCCACTGCCCTTTATGGGACTTGTAATGGATCAGTTCTTTTTTTTCAGCCACCACTAGGTGACAGCACAAAACAGAGCTGACGTAAGGTAAATATATAAGTACAGTGGGGTCTTGACTTAAGAACGGCTCGAGTTAAGAACATTTTGACTTAAGAACCGCTCTCATAGGAAAATATTGACTTGACTTACATACTTAGATTTGAGTTAAGAACTGAAAAAAAACCACGTGGGAGGCAGGGAAAGTGCAAAATTTGAACTTTCAGTTAACTGTTGGCCAGTGAAAAGGGTGCCTGTCTGCTTCCTCACTCCTCCCAGCGTTTAGAGAGTGGATTGGGAGACAGTCTTCAGACTGCCTGGTACTGGACTGCCTGGACTGTATTTTCCCTGCCTTCCCTGAACCTTTCTTGACCTAAGAAAAAAAGAAACAAAATATCCCCCTCTAGTGGTCGAAGGCAGAATAGCAGCTTCCCATTAGTTTCTATGGACGGAAAAGAGCAGATACGGATCAAATGGTTTTCAATGCATTCCTATGGGAAATGCAGATTTGACCTGAGAACGTTTTGACTTGAGAACCGCCTTCCAATACAGATTAAGTTCTCAAGTCAAGACCCCACTGTAGAGTTTTGTCAAGAGAACAAGCTGGTCATCACAAACACTCTTTTCCAACAACACAAGAGGCGACTCTACAC